TGTCCATCAGCTTAAAGCGAGTGAAGGGCAAGAACGTCTAGGGTTAGGGGTCGATCTTGCAGCAACCTGCTGTTCAACCCTTGGTTCATTCGTCTGCTCAAATCTTGTTTAACTTAAACACGGAATCCAAGAACCTGGACCTTAACCGCTATGTCCCCATACCTGAGACCTGAAGCACGAAACACTTCGACGGCTTCGCAAAATTAAAGGCTTGTTAGAGTTTCGCTGGATTTGTAGAAGGGTGCGGATAAGAAGAGTGTATGAAGACCATCACATCCAAACTCAATCAAAGTCATTCGCACACTTCAAAACACAGACTCTATAGACCCTGATGCACAAACTTACACAAACCTTCAGACCCTGAATGTCAGTCTTACGGAGGTCTCCCATGGTCAGTTCCCAATAGTCCTGCCCCGCTATAATCCGTATATGTAGCTTTGCTAGACTATCCCCTCCAAAATCCTATGCACATGACTACGCAACTACAAACCCTTACAACCAGCCACAACGCTTTGAACAAGACCTTTGAAACACCCATCAAAATCAACTGGAACCTCGACAACAGTATTCAAATTAATGTTACCTAAGTCCCGAAACCAACTAACCCCACACAAAACGATCAAAGGCCGAGTCCTCGCTCCCGGCCCTCTTGGCTGCGTCCGCCCTCGCGCGCCGGCCGCCGGCGCTCACCGCGTCGCAGGGCCGAAACCGGCATTTCTCCTAGGCAGTATTGCCCATATAGGGTCCGAAGTGCCTATATAGTCGAACGTAGGGTTTGTATATCGGCATAGATAGAAGTAATGTAGGTCTGTTTGGGGGAGTATTTTATGATGGGTAGTTAGACCCTTCGGGTAAACATTGAAGTGCCCTTCCTTGCCCCTTCCGCACAGGGTCCAAAACATCTAGGGTTCATCGGCCTACATACTAGCCGGCAGCTGCTGCAACCCTAAAAATGGTTATTGGACCCTTACCCAACCGATCCCAAGTAATTACCTACATGGGAGTTTCCGAAAATAAGGGTGCCATATTTTGCAGTCCTTATAATAAGGATCCTACTAGTTAGGGTACCATGTTAGGGTCCCCTATTTTCGGAGACTCCCACAACGCAATTTCGAGAATAGATTTGAAGCCCTCAAACCAAGGAGTCAGGCCGGGCTCTTGCTGAAACGCCTGGCATCATTGGAGGCCGGCGGCCCCACGTAATACAGGCGCCTGAATACTTAGAATAGGGTTTTGGGGCCACTTTGTACCGTAGTTAACCCTAAACCCTAAACCCAAAACCCTAAACCCTAAACCCAAAACCCTAAACCCTAAACCCAAAACCCTAAACCCTAAACCGTGTAGTTATTCATTTTGAGGCCCCTAGAGGATCCTTTAAAGGGTCTCATGTTCTTCATGAAAAGCCAGTTGGGGGCTACAGTAGGGGGGTACCTTGGCTTTGGGGTTTAAGGCTCCAGTGTCTCTTCAATAGCACTGCGAGGAGACCAGGGAATTGGTGTGCGTGATTTTGGTGGAGGATTGAGGGTTTAGGGGTTAAGGATTCAGACACGCCCGTGAATCTTCTGGGTTGCGGGCTTTGTGGATTCATGCCCGGACAGTGGTCCAGGAATGTGGGTTCCGTCACAGGGTTCCTTGTACGAAGCATGCTGCATCTCGCTGAAAGTGTTTGAGCTATGCGCGTTACTGGGTTTTCCAGCGGCCAACTACTAAGGACTTTTCAAGGGACTTCATAAGTTGGAGAACCTCTACACCCTGCCAGCCTCAAGCCAGGGATGATAAACAACAGTCGCCTACTGACCTTCAACTTAACAACAACAAGTATAAAGGGAACTCCAGAAAGTTGGAATATGGTTTCAGGGTAGGATACCTTATAATTTACCATAAAGGGTTTAGGATAATCATATTCCAACTTTCTGGCTTTTACTTTGGCCTCCTATAAACCTCTAACCAAACCTTAAACCCCTAAACCCTAATCCCTAAACTGCCCAGGGCAGTCTCTGTGGCTTCCGGAGGTTCGTGTTTGAGGGCGTTAGCATTTCTTAAGGCCTCAGGTGCCCTGCTCCCAAATCACAGGGGGTTTAGGATTTACCAGGACCTTTCAAGGGCCCTTTAATGGAGTGGTGGGTATTCGGGGTATGTGAGAGGGTAGCTCGGGGGCTCTAGGTAGGGCTCCTCTTGAAAAGTATCGCAAGGATAGGACGAATGAGCTGCAAAAAGAACAGATCTCAGCTTCTGTTTCCGCAAGCCCTACACCATTGGACCATAGACTGTAGAACCCTGGAGCCCCTGATGCGAATCTAAAACCCTTAAACCGCAGCGCCCTAGATGTGTACTACCAGTATGGAATCGCCCTAGATGAAAGGAAATCATAAGAAGGAGGGTCCAGGTAAGCCAGAGAGACAGGAAGCTGCATGGTCTCCTTCATTGCCTCGGCGTGGTTCCCTGGCCCTCGCCACTGCCCTGACGCGGCTGCTGAGGTGCAGGGCGATGTACTAATGGTTTAAGGTTCAGGTTTCAACTACATGGAAGCCCAAACTATAAGCACGAACATTATACATGTCATTCTACAGTAAAAGTATAAAGGTATATACTATAGAAGCCTAATTCACTACAGAATATATTATTCCTCACAGTTCCTTATTGTCACTTTACCAGAAAAGCGCCGAAAACCCGAGGTCTGAACGTGAATGCCCTTTCGTAGGCCTTTGGGGGTTTTGGGACTCAGGTCTGGTCTGTGGGCTTTGGGGTTTCTAGGGTTTCAACTAGGATCCTTAAGGGAGTGTGGTTCAAGGGGGGAGGGTATAAGGAATCCTTAGGGGACTGTAAGGGAACCTTAGGGAGTACTAGGGAGAATTTGTAAGGATATTACAAGAAAGTTTCGGGATGTCTTGGGACTTCTTTTCAAAGGGGAATAGGAGGGACACTTAATGGGGATAGAATGGGCTATATTATGGGCATACAATAGCTATTTTAAGGGTATATACCTAGGGGTCCTTATTAAGGGTCCCTCCTTTTCCCCTTTGACCTTTGGGTTTGGGTAGGAATGCCGGTGCACCCCATATCAAGGATTGCAAGAAACCTATCTGGCCGTATGGGCTCCAAGTACGCACGGAGGTGGTTTAGGGGTTCCATATTGTATTGTAAGTCTAGGGTTTAGGGTTGGCATTTAGGGGTTGAGGGTTTAGGGTTTGTCATATTATATGGCAAGTAAGCCCAGATTGGACGATGCACATGCTGCGAGGTGTTCGCATGCCACTTCCAGGACCTCCACTTTCCGCTTGGCTTCGAAGGTTGCCGTTCGTACGCCGGACAAGGACAGCGCAGGGGTCGACACGCGCACGGACGGCCTGGAAAAATGCTGGGATTGGACATGGGAGTACCCGGTTCTGAGCAAGATCGGACCACACCCAAACGTCGTGCAGCTCGACGCCTCTACGCTTCGCTGGCATCATGGGCTTCACACACCGGCAATTTGATGGAGACTGCCACTCTGGACCTTTTGAAGGTTGTTGGGAGCTGCACAGGGAAGGACCAAGAGGTCGCAGTAGTTTCACCAGATGGCCTCAAACCTCCCCCCGGTCCCGAAATTTCTTTACTTCTGAATCTTTAATTTCCATTATGAATTTTGAAACAGCCCCAACCCTCAAGCCTAAACCCGTCAACCCCAGAGAGCTACAACTCGAACAGAGCCTGGACCCAAGCAACCTCGATCCCGAACACGAATTAACGACCCTAGAACCCTGCAAACTATACCCGCGACCCTCGACGCTAGAGCCTTAGAGCCCTGAACCCTATTCGCTATGCCCCGAAACCCTGAACCCTAAAAGCCCAACCCTAAAAGCCCTGAACTCTAAAAGCCCTACCCTCAAACCTTATAGACCCTTGAGTCATGAGCCCCTAAACCCTGAACCCTATAAGCCCTAAACCCTAAAAGCCCTCAACCCTAAACCTTATAACCTATACCCTATGCCCTAAGCCCTATACCCTATAACCTAAACCCTCTACCCTAAAATCCTAAAGCCTTAGCGACCTCTGCTGACCTTAACTGCAAGGCGGAAAAAGACCCTTAACATAAAACAAAAAGCCCTTATAGACCCTTGAGTCATGAGCCAGGCGTCCAGCGGCCCTGCCAGCACTCCGGGAAGCCCTGAGGATTCTCTCGGGGGCTATGATGAGATTCCCAAAGGCCCTTCAACAGAGGCCTTATGAACCAGGGGCCTGAATGACTAGAACTGGTTGTAATGCGGTCTTATTTGGTTGTCTCATGGTTCTGTAGGGTTTAACAAAGGGTTGTAGTAGGGCATATTTAAAATCGATGAATATTTGCGGTATACGGCGACTACAAGGGGCTGTTTAGGCTAAGTCTGCTGTCCCCTGGCTTACCTCAGTCAGTGGACTTAAATTAAACCCTAAAAACCCTAAAAACCTTAAACCCTAAAAACCCTAAAAACCCTAAACACCCTAAAAACCCTAAAAACCCTAAACCCTTGGCTTTAAAGGCGTTTGGGGCTTCGTTTTCTTGTGCTTCCGGCCCCGGGCTGCTGGGCGTTCAGGTGGTTGTGGATGAGCATCTATGGAAGCCCCGCCGGTCTGTGTAATATGGGGGCCGCAATAATTACCTGTACATTTTTTTTGGGGGGGCTCCTGATTTTAACTATAGTTTAATGGGCCCCAAAACCCAATTCTAATTGCTAAGGGCCCTATAGTCTGTTTGTAAGAAATCACATACTCTCTGCGGAGAATCTCTAGTCTTCCTTACTAGACTACTGCCCTACCCTGAAGCACTGAACGCCCCAAACCCTAACAACGTCAACCTGCAACTTCTTCACTTCGCAGCATAAGGGTTCTAGTCCCGCGCTAAGTACAGGGTCTCAAAAGCTCGCGCTAAGCGCGGAGCAGACCGAAAGGAGACTTACCGCTCCAACATGCAAAGGTGAGACCGGAGGGTGCAGACAAAGGGAAGGAGCACACAGGTGCTCAACAACACAAGGCACCCGAGATCAGCCCGCCGAAAGGAGCTGATGCGGAAAGGCGAGGCGACGCGGCAGAGCGGTAGCGAGGCAGCCGGCAGAGAGGGCAGCAAGCGCCGAGGGGACGACCCCAGGCAAGCTGACAACCGAACCAAAGCCGAGCACGGAGACCGCCGAAGCGCCGACCGCAGCAGGGGCAACACGGCCCAGCAATTCCCAAAAGGCACCGGGGAGGGGCTGAGCGCTCCAAAGAACAGCGCCGAGCTGAAGCTGGCGAATGAGATGAAGGAAAGTCAACATCCGACGCAGAAAAAGGATGCGACTTGCTGCAGCTTGGCCAAATCCAGAAGGGCCACGTAGCCGTGGAAGGGCAGAGGGGCGCTCCTCACGACGAAGAAAGGCCGACAGGCGCCACACATCACCAGACCAAGGGTGACGCATGTCGAAAGCGCAAAAGAGGCGCCAACACCAATTCCAACTGCAAGGAAGACACCAGAGACCTGGCGCAAGACCAGACCAGCGACAGGACGGGACTCGAAGTTCGCAATCGTCAGGAAACTCATCGAAGAAAAAGGCCGAGAGTAGACAAGCAGAAACCTGAGCCGGCACCGCAAGAGGGGGAGGATGCGGGGAGAGAGGCGAGAGAGGCGAGGATGCCTCAATAGGGGGTTTCACACCATCGAAGGCAGCATGTGCAACCGCAGGGAAGCCAACAGCGACTGGTGCACAACCGGTAGGAGGGACAGGGGTTCCCTCAGCCGGATCGGTAGCCCGACGGAAAGGGACAACAGGTGAAGACCTTGCGCCTTCAGCAAATCCAGGGCCAGGCGCCAAGGCATGGAGCTCAGCAGCAAGCTCCTCTGCAGTGCAGTTTCTGTCTTCTTCGGCAGCCCGTCGCTGGGATGGAGTGGCATTACATGGCCCAGTAAGACGAAAAACCGGCGCCCGAGCATGCCCTTGCTGGCCGCGACGCTTGGTGCCGGACCCATACACATAGACGGGCCCGACACAACAGCGTAAGCCATGCTCACACGCAGGCGAGTTGAGCAAGTGATAGCGGAGGCGCGCGGCGTTATGAAATTCAATGAGGCACCAGAGGCACACGGTGCCAAGTGTATACTGGGTACAGAGTGCGACACGCCCGTGCAGACGGTGAAGGTGTGCCGCAAGAGCATGGGCCGAGGGCAGGGTCACCCCACACTCGGGGCAAACATGTGGGGCCGCAACCCCGATGATCTTCTTGGGAGAAGGGGTCTGACGGCTATTCCAAGCGCGGTGGAGCGCAAGGAGCATCGTCCCAGAACGGCTGATCTTGCGACATGCAGCCAAAATGGCTTTGGAATGCCGGCGGATCCCTTCCAAGGTAGGCTCCCCAGTACGTAGGTCTGGAAGGCCACAAGCAGGCCAGACCTTGCGGACGGCGTCAGCAAGGAGTGAGGACCACTCTCCACCGCGATCCCAACTGGCTTGAAAGAGGTCAAAAACCTCGGCCGAACGGCCTGACACAATGCGACAGAGAAGACGGACTCTAGCAATGAGAGTGGCACACTCGACATCAAGCACTCCCGTACACGCCCGCAGTTGAGCGGAGGCAACATGGTGGCCGGCGTCCCAGGCGCCGACAAGTTGGCGCAGGCACTTATCAAGGAAACCTTGAAGAGGCCCCCACACTCGCTCACAATGCGCAAGCGTAGTGGCGAGGGATGAGTAGGCCGCGGGGAGTGTACGCCCCTGGAGCCACACAAGTTTCAGGACCCAAGGTAGATGGTCAGAATGCACGAGGCCAGCAGACTGGGTCCAAATGGCGTTGCCTCGGGATGCTGCGGCTTCGATGTCACGGCGGCCGGTATCCCGGCAACGTTGCGCAACCCCGAGGTACTTATACTCGGGTACAACCCGAATGCACCGCCCATCAGTGAGGTGGAGCTGAGGAACGGGCGACAGGAGTTCCTTCCTGGCCTCATTAGCCCCCGGTCCTTGGAGGTGGACTAGGGCCTCAGTCTTACCGGCTCCCAGGTTCACCCGAAAGCGAAAAGCCTCGAAGACTTGCAAGACAATCGAGCACAAGCGCTGGAGTTTAGAGACGGCCCAGGTAGCCCGCAGGAAATCGACAAGCAGGCAAAGGTCATCTGCCCAAGCAATTTGAAGCGCGGTGTCAGGGTTCCCCAACGCATCTGAGGTGGATGCATGCACAATATCTTCAGCGCGGAGTGCGTGGTGAAGGCATTGAAGGATGACTGCAAAGAGCGCGCCAAAGAGAACATCGGCCAAACCGTCACCCGGCCGAGATCCACGGCTGGCAAGAATAGCCTGAGGCTGACCGACCAACCTCCAGAAGGAGCATTCAACGCAATCCCTGAGCAGGGCGATCTGGTCAGGCGGAACACCTAAACCAGAGAGGACCCCATCTCGGATGAGTCCGTGGACGTGTTCCGGCAGGCGCAGCCCTTGCAACGCTTCATCGAGGTCACGCCCCTCAAAGAGCAGAATACGGTCAGCCTCATAGTAAGCTGCTTGGATATCAACAAACAAGGCAGCCCATGATCGGTGGCGTACAGTGGCGAGGTCAACCGCCGAGCGAAAGACGCCCAGCGCAAGTCCAGTATCGACCCCACGCCGCCCGCCGAGCTGTGTGGGGAAGTAATGAGCAATGATTTCCTGACCGAGCGTAGCTCGCAACTGAGAGTGCCAAAGTTTCGCAACACCATTAAGCATGGCAATAGATCTGAAATTGGAGGGCAGGTGGGCCGGGCCTTTCTTATGAAGGGCTCCAACAATGGAGGCTTTGAAATGAAGGGGCTCAGCCTCTCCCCACGCGAGGTGAAGCCAAATCGGCCATAACCATCGTCCAGCTTTGTCGGGGCAAGCTTTCCAGACCTCATTACGGATGTGGTCCGGCCCAGGGGCCTTGCCTCTCTTCTGGGAACGGCACATGTGTTCAACGTCCAGAAGGGAAGGGACCGCTGCCGGGCAAACTGGGCGGGCAGTGTCAGCCCATTTGGCAAAAGCGCTGTTGAGTTGCGCGCTCGACACGGGGCGTCCTCCTTCTTGTTGTTGGAACTGTAACTGCAGTTCAGCATCGATATTGAAGCCACTGGCGGCCCGCACATCGCGCTTCTGCTTAGCTCCTTTGGACGCCCATGAAAGCTTGGAGACAGCTTCAAGAGGGCGACCCGTGGCATGCCAGTGATCGATAGCTCCGACTAGCAGGGATTCAAAATAGGCCTGTTTGTCAATCCGGGCCTGGGCATGAGCCTGAGCTCGCAGTTTGAAGCAGACATGCGCAAAGTGGGCCACGAGCATCTGCACCTGGTGGCGTTCCCAGCGCCGGGCAGGAGCTGGTGGTGGCCGACCGTGCCAAGCATGGAAGGCAAGTGCACAGAGCTGCTGTCGCTGAAGAGAAGCGAGACGACGTAACTCAGCTCTGGCATCACGAAGGGTGTCAAGGAGACCGGCAGCCGTATCTGAGAGGTAGGGTTGGCGCCGGCACAACGGAGGTCTCGCCGGTAGCAGTCGGACAGCTGCATCGTGCGCAGTGCATAACTGACGGACTTTAGTGGAGCCAGATCCTGGACCGGAGCGGGCAAGCGTGTCCCAAACATGCTGCGAGACAAGGTCACCGCATGTGGGTGGGTAGGGACACCTTTGATGAACACGGCGTCCGGTCTTCCCCCATATCTCGACACATGCCGTAATGGGCATGTGATCTCGCGCCTCCCCGTTCAGGATGTCAAGTTCAGGGAACTGGCGATGGCCACGAACAACGACACCACCAGTGACAAGCAGGTGGTCAAGCCGTTGGACCTTACCGCCGGTATGCTGCCAGGTCCATGAAGGGCCGGAATGGGTTTCAGCCCAAGTACCAGGGGCAGCAAGAGAGGTGTCATGCAGGCAGGCAAGAAGCAAGTCATCGGCCAAGCGAGCCGGTCGGAGGGACAGTAAGTCACCGACCAGAACCTCTTCTTCATCACGTCCCACAAAATCAGCATTTGCATCGATGCCTGCCAGGACGACTCCCCGATTACATGCTGGCAGAAGCTGGACCCGCAGGTCTTGCCAGAAGCGCCGAATTTCATGTTCCGGGCGTTCAGCGTGCGGTGCATGAGCCGCGACCAGGGTCACCGGAAAGTCCGAACGTTGACATTGTACTAACAGCAGCCGCGGACTGGCAAACCGGATGCGAAAGTCATCGAGATCGAGCTTGGGTGACACAACATCAGGTCTAACCCAGATCTCAACGCCGAACATACCCTTTTCTGCGCCGGAGCGGAAGCTGAGGAAACCATGTGAGGACCAGCGTCCTGGCCGGCTACGGCACTCCTGTAAGAAGGCAACGTGAACATCTAGGGATTGGAGCTGTTGAGCAATGTAGATGCGACGCTGCCCATGACCCTCCCGGTTAAAGAAGGATTCAGCGACGTCCTTAATAGTCTGAATGTTGGCTTGCACAAGCCTAACACAAACGTGAGTTGGCTTCGCCAGATCAGACTTCGCCTGAGATTCAGGCATAGCAGGAGTGCTGCTTGCTTCAGATGCGTCCCTGGGTGCCCCCCACGCCGGGGATTCCCAAAAGAGGCCAGCAGGGCCCAGCTGCGCGGACGGAAGTAGCCAGAGAAACGGTGCGCATTGAGCAAGGGTGGTCCCGAACGTCCCAGGCAGCCGGCACCACCCAGGGGAAGCATACCAAGGATGCATTGCACCATAACCGGCAAGGGCATCGACAATCTCATTAACCAGGGCACCGGCATGTCCGGGCACATGCCGGAAATGGGTGGTGCAACGAGATTGGATTGCCTGCCAGAGTGAACGACAAACACGGGCGTGCGGCAGAGTAGCTGAAGCAAATCCCCCGGCAACCTGTAACGCCGCACTATTATCGACAGCAATCGTAACCCGAGCAGGCGCATGGCCAGTGTGTAGCTTCAAAAACGGAGCCAGCCCGAGTGATAACAGGGAGGGAGCGTGGGAGGCATGCTCACCAGCAAGTGCCTAGCCAAGTAATGAGCGGCCAGGCCGGCATAATGATGACCCGCCTCATTGAGATCTAATCTCCGATCAGGTACGGTCTTCGCGGCTGCATCCGCTACACGAGGGGCTTCGGAAGGGGCCCCCCAAGCTCGCCCATAGATGTCAAAGAGCAGAGCGGGCCACGACATCGCACCATGAGCAACACCCGGTAAGACAAGGGTGTCACTGAAGGGGAAAGCCCCAAAGGATGCCCCTGCAAGAAGGAGAGCCCCGCCACTAGCCCAGAGCGACAAGGCATTCCGCGTCAGCAGAAGGCCAGCAAGGCACAACAGAAGACGCGGGGAGGGAGCTCTGCTACCAAAAGATCGAGCCGCTATCGCCATCCCTAATCAGACCTTGTGTGCTGTAACGGGAGACCTCCAGCAACCGAAGAGGTGGTTGCGTGGGCAGAACATGTGCACGATGCGGGTTAAGGCTCTCCGGGACAAGGTGGAGGCCAAGCAGATCACAACGGGCAGCCGGGATCCAACGGGCAACACTGTACCGGGCCAAAGAGGGTCGGAATGTGCAGTGTTCCGGGTCCCACACTTCATTTTGAACGGTATGAACCGTCAAGGGAACAGGATCACCGGCCGACCACGCAAACAAGAGGCCCGGCAGGCGGATCTGAAAGGGGCTACCCCAAAAGGCAAATTTACGGGCCTGATAGAAGGTATCCCAATAGCGGCCGCTGGGAGAGCGCAAACGTGGAGCCCAGCCGGCACATGCCAGGGTCAGCACGTCCCCAGACCGAAGGAAAAGAGTTGGGGTATAGGAAGTGGCAGTGCCACACCAGATTTCCGGCGAGGCCAAGACACAAGCTAAATCAGGGACCGACCGTCGACAAGCTCGAGTAAGGTCTGCAGCGTGACACGTGGCTGGCAAGATGGCGGCTCGAGTCGCAGGCGGGCACTGGAGCAGGACAACAACGAAGAGAGGATCCGAAGGGACGGGCACCCAATCCACTATGCGAGGATCTTGAGGTGGCCGGACTTGAGTAAAATCAGACCACGCAACAGCGGCATGACGCAACTCCTCAGGCGGACGATCAACGGGACCAAAGAACGGCCCTGACACAGAGCCGGAGGGCTCCCAGAGGCGGTGACATTCCCCTGCAGGATAGGGTGTGTCAGACATCCTAACTGCCCCAACATGACCCTGCCCGGTGGCAGCGAGGCCAACCGCGAGGGTAAGGTGACGTGCACCGGCGGCCTCATTATGCCAGCCGAAAAACAAGCCAGCAATCAGAACCAAGGAGCTCGGGAAAGTTGGTAGAAAGCGGACAGAGAGAAAGAAAGCGAGGAGAGCCTGAACGCCACCTGAAGGTAGGGCGCCCTGGGGAGCTTCTGACACAACGTCACCATTGCGAAGGACAGTGCCTTGGCGCAGTTCCTGGTGTGAAAGACCCAGGACTCGTGGCTGAGTGGAGATGGAGGGCACATCATTCCATAACTGCCAGGCGTCCGTCGCTGCAGTTACTGGGGCACACCAGCACTTACCGTCAGCTTCAATGACAACATTGACGTATGTCGGGTCCTCGGACACCACAACTAAATGGGCATGGTCTTGGGCAATCCATGGTACCGGCACCCAGCGCCCAGGATAGTGTTGACAGAATTCCCCAGCAAACGTAAAGTCGAGGGCCCGCCACTGGGCCCCTTCGGGTGCATGTCCCCGGATTGCACGGACCCCGGGGCGCCAAAGTATAAAATTTGTCCGGACAGAGACCGAAAAATCGACTGCCCAGACAGCACAATGCCGAACCTGCGCATCAGTGTGGAAGCACGGGGGCTGGTAAGTAGGCTCGAAGGCTGCCGGAGGCAGGGCAACAACAAGATCACCCGAACGCCATCTGATAACGCCGTCAGGAGGCGTCGACGCGGCCAAGGAACTAGGCGCCCGCAGGGAGAGCGCCTGTAATGGCTGAAGAAAACGGAGAGCCTCCCCCAACCATGACAGAGTGGAGGAGCAGGGGATCAAGACAGAGAAATGCCGATCCAAAGAGGACACCGCCAGGCACACGAGGCTGGGATCAGGGGGACGCGGCACGACCAACAAGGCTGGAAGGGCGGCTGTCGGCCAGACGGGCGCAACGTCGGCACCCCAGGCCGGCTCACAGGCCTGCATCAATGTGTTAAGCTCAGTAACGGAAGCGGAGGTATACAGACGACCTGCCTCCCGAGGCCCTGTGAAAGGACTAAGCAAAACAATATCCAATTCAGGTCGGGCCGAAAGATCGAGAAGGTCGCCTTCACCTGGACGTGCGCGCCATGGGTACAGCCCAACTCGGATGGGCGGATCGAGGAGCTCGTAAGAAGGCACCATGCTAGACCCCAGCACAACCCCGAGGGCTAGCCCTAACCACCAGGGAGCGCGACCAACCGAAACCGCGAGAGCGCCAAGCAGAACCGTGGAGCCAGGCGAGGCAGAGGTCAGAGGTTGATGCCAGGTGTGCTGGGCACGCTGCGGCTGAGCATCATCTAGACTGGGAGGCTGTGTGCTGAAGGGGTCCCAAACAAGATCAGCATTCGGGGCAATAACCAAGACGTCCCCGTCCCGCAACGTGCTACCAGCACGCACATAACGAATGGCAGGTAACAGTTGCCATCCCAAAGGGATGCGATGGGTGTTGCAGCCCGCTAGGAAGACCCCCACCGGTGTCGGCTCTGGCGGCAGGAGAAAGAGCACATGCGCTTCAGAAATTGAGGTGCGGGACATTAGATGCAGGTCCGACAGGTCACCCGTAAGGACTGGTACCCAGGAGCCCGTTAGGGTCTCGCCACCTAAGCTTCGAAATGTGGGGCCTAGAGGATCCCAATACGCATTGTCGCGTACATACACCAGCTGGCCAAAACGGCTGGAGGTTGTCCACAGGGTGACGGGGCCGCCTGTGTCGAACCTGAAAGACAACGACCAGCTGGCAACCTGCCGCGCCCTATCAAGGGATGGGTAGTGCAGAGCAGGGAACCGTGTAGAACCGGGTTGAGTAGAGTCAGGCAGAAAGCCAAACGCATCGCCGTTGCGAAGGCGGATGTGTGTGTGCATGTGAGCGGCGCGGATGGAAGGAGGCGGAATGACAACCCAAAATCGTGTGCTGGGAATGAGGCGGGCGGCCAACCGCTGAATGTCCTCGAGCGACGCATCAACCGACGCTAAGGCAACGGCTGTGCCACTAAGGGTGTGGAAGACTACACTAGCCATCCCGAAAGGAGCAACCGGGGCAAGCGTAACTTGGGCGAACGGAAACGCCGCACGGACAGGGAAGAAGCGGGTTGCCCAGGCACCACAGTGTCGGGACCCAACAGCTTCAAACAGGGACCATGGTCCTTCCAACCGAGCAAAATGAAATTCACTCCAACCCCTTAAGGGACAGAGGACTCGGGTAGTAAGGGGCCTTGGACCTGGAAAGCAGCGGGCAAAACAAAGCTGACCGTCAGTACAATCAGGCTGCCACCCCGCCTGCAGGACATAAGGTTCACCACTGCTGAAATCGACTCGCGCAGGAAAATGGCGGTGAGAGCTGTCCCGATCACGGGAGCGACTCCGCCGAGGCGGCATCCTGGTGCGAATGGTGCGAGCTTCCGAAGAGTCAACAACTGGAACATCGGCCCGAGGAGCCGGAGGACACAGCCCAGGCTGGCCCACTGAAACCATACACAAGGAGCAGAAGTCTGGCCAGCGCAGGTAGCCGACGGCCAAACAATCCAGCTGCAAGGGAATGAACCCACCAATCGCCGTCGCGTACACTGGCTTCCTCAGTAGCCTGACTGGAGGCGGGGCGGAGGGAAAACCCTTGAATGTAAAGGTCATGTGCAGCGCCTCTGTCAATCTCGACACACCTGGTGGAGCCACGAGACTGAATGATATTCACACGCCCAAAAGCAGTGGCTTGCTCAACAAGCCAGGGTGGCGTCCCTAGGTGTCCGTGGCAGGGCGCCCAACGGTGGACTCCCAAGGCCTCCTCGTGTTGGCAAACGGTGGCCTCTGCAGCATTCCACCGCGCTTGGTGTCGGAGGAGAGCGACCCGAGTGGGTCGGCTGGGTGACCACAGCAGCACACAGGAGGCGTGAGCGACAATAAAGTCAGAATGCCATGCTGAGGCGGCATGTGCAGCTCCCCAGGTCAGGAAGACGGGCGTCTCACGTGGCCCCGCTGAAGGGTCCGACTGGAAAAGCCGGACTGCCACCTGAGCGCAAAGCGAGCACGGGTCTGGTGTCCCGGGTTGACGCTGCCAGTCCGGGCGAGAGGTGTGCACTTACCCGGCGGCCAAAGCGAAGCTGCAAGGCATGGGTTAAATCGCGGGGGGTGAGAAAAGAGGGCACGACAACACAAATAAGCTGCCCTAGACCCGAAACCAGTATGCATGCGAGCCTCCCTCCTGGTCTCGGGACCAGAACATGCGAACCATCGGACACCAACCCGGATTCAGCAAACCCCCGATGCCACGACGTCAGGGTGTGATGTGCATCCGCGATGACATCCTCAAAGGCATTACTGGGGTCAACTTCAACGCGTTGCCAGGGCGCAAAGGGATTGGCCAAAGTGAGGGTGACTCGGTTAACAGTGGCAGCAGGGATAGCCGGGGTTGCCAAGGGGCCTGCAGGTGCCCGTTGAATCATGGCCGCCGCTGACGGCAAGAAAAACAGAGCACCGGCCCCGAGGCTCGAAGACTGGCCACCATGCATGAGGCCAACAGCAAGGACAAGCAAGAACTGGCGTGCCATGGGCAGCTGTGAGAAAGCAAATGCAGTTCCCAACCACCAACCTAGGCGACAGGAGGCAGTCGCACAGGCACCGCGAGCGAATTCTCCGAAAATCACATCCCCGTTGCGGAGTTCGCAAGCTTGCTCCATGGCATATGACGGGACCCCACCAACCTGAACCGTCGCAGGGCAGAACCTCAGCTGAGCAGCGAGGCTGTCACGAGACGCAACACGATCGACCGATCTGCACAACCGCCCTTCAGGAGTAGCCGCTACAACATTAACCTTAGCGGCAACCTCGTTAACCGCCATAAGCTGCAGGGCACGGGCACTCGTCCACTGGACCGGCATCCAAAAGCCCGGAAATTGGTGTCTAAAGTCCCCCGAAAATGAAAATGCCTCAGGACACCAAGATTCGCCAGCCGGAATGCTCGTGAGCAGTGGTGGTTTCTCAGGACGGAGCAAGTGAACCGAAATCGGAAACATAAGCTGGAACCCCACAGCCCATGGAGCGTGGTGTGCCGCGAGTCCGTCTTGGAGGTGCCAAGGCTCCACAAACTCTAACGGCTCATCAGGGTCAGCTGGGGGATCATGGATATAAACGACGTCCCCGTTGCGAAACCGAAAAGCGGCTGGCGGGATATCAAAATATTCGCAAACCGCCAAACCGTGGGGAAGTGAGAGCCCGCCAACTTCACTGTTGATATGGCGGGCAACAAAGGAAGTCAGCCACGCAACCGTCATAGTTCGAGGCGTGAGTGTGGCCCGATGGTGACCTCCCCAGACAAGCATAATGGTGACAAGGGCAGGATCATGTCCGACGGGGACGACGGAAAGTTCATTGAATGCAGGCCCTGGCCAGACCGGAAAGTAGTCTGCCGCCCAACCCGGATCATCATTGCGAAACTGGGCCCAGGCCTGAGTGTGGCAGGTGTCCTGGGAGGCTGTAAAGGGTGGAAAAACTCTAAAAAGGGGCTGTGCAGGACAACTTCAACCGGGTCCTCACTCGTAATGCCAGAGAACCGCCGGTTAACCGGATCAATACCCCAAGGGAAGCCACCTGGCCTATGCATACCTAGAACCTCGGCGCGCCAGAGACAGAGAGCGAGCATGGCAGGCGCCACACCAGGCGACCTGGCGGATGTGACAACGAGCCAAACCCACAAACCTGCGGCTCTGAATGCAGCAGAAGTTGATCCGGGGACCGTTGCTGCATCATCGGTGCCACCCCCCAGGGTTTCTGCGGTGGCAGCTTGCACATCCTGATGGGAGGGTAGCTGGCGGGATGGGCGGCGCCCCGCCGCCAGACAATCACCGTTGCGAAATTGGACAACAGCGGTTTCTTCGTGAACATCCGGAGGTCGGAGATCATATTCCTGGCCGTCAAGATGAAGCGCCTGGAGCGCCGCACAGGCGACACACGCAGGAAGGCAGCATGGAAGGAGGCGTCCGTCAATGACGACACCCACCGCGACATTGCCCGGCGCCTGGGGGCAGCCAATTAGGTGCACAGCTGTGGCATCGGGCTGCGGCATGAGCAAGACCATCCCGGCCCAACCACGGCTGCGTGCATGTCCTTGAAACAGGACAAAGGGATTAAGCTCAGGCCCAGCAGAGTATTCCACAATGTCACATTGCTGGCGGGCAGTGAAGGGGTTGTGGATACAAAAGGGCGTGCCCAGTGGGATGGCAGCGGCAAATGTGCGTAGGCCGCGTTGGAGTCCAAGCAAATCGGCTTGGACCCGTCGAACAACGTCCTCATCGGCAGCCGGCTCCCGATCGAGAGTGGAGGGCCAAAGTCCGAGAGCATAATCCTCAAGAGGGCGGGCCGCACGAAGATAACGCAAACGAGGTTGAAAGGGGGCATTCACCGGCTCCGGTGGAGGAGGTCCAGCTGGAATGGTGAAAGGGACTGGTGCAGCAGAAGCGGCAGACATGTTCTCAGCTTGGACAGGAGGGGGACCTTCTCCATCTGACTGCTCCTCGTCCGAACAATCCGGCGGGGGGAAAATAATGGAGCCATCGCTGACAGTTGCAAGAGCAAGAAAGCTCCCGGACGCAACCCCCCTAAAACCAAGAAGTGCCCCGACTAAGACCCAACTAACAGAGGACGGAAGAGCCAGCTTGTGGCTGCCAGAAGTACCTCCGATATCAAGCAGATCGACATGCGGGGCCGAGGCAGCAGCGCAAGCGCTCTGGGAGGAAAGCCTCAGAACGGAGGGGGAGTCTCCAACGGGCTCAGCGTCAGGCTCGGCAAGCCCAGCCCAGAGTCGTGACGTATGGAAAGAGAGTTCACGGGACAGCAGATGAACCCGTGAAACAGTAGCGTGGTCGAGACCAGTGCCGTTACCTGAGAGATCAGTCTGAACACCTTGATCAACCAGGGGAGTTTGCAAGACGCCAGCAGCAAGTTGATTGCCACTCCCATCAAGCCGGATGGCCGGTTCCAGTGCAGGGCCACGACTGGGGACATGTCGGAAGAAGGGGCTATCAATGACTAGCGGGTCAGGGTTCCAGGGATCATCATCTCCCGGTATTCGTGCTAGGGCGCCGATGATGATCTGAATGACAGCTCCAGACGGGAAGTCAGGCAAGGGAGCTCCAGGCGGATAAAACTGGCCTGCAAAGGAAAGAGCTGGGCAACGGTCTGGCAAAGGTCCCCCTGGGAACAGGGCCCGGATATGAGCGGAGACAACATCCCAATGGAAAGGGGTATGCCCAAAAGTAACCACAGCCGCATCTCCCCAGTGCAGCAGCCAGAATCTAGCAGTAGGATGTGTGGTGGGCACAATCGGCACGAAGAGAACGTGCTGCACAGTCCCGCCGGGTGAGGAGAGAGTAGACCGGAACTCACCGGGGTCGTCAATGTGGTGTAAACGGCACATCAATTCACGAAGCCAGCGTGTTGGGTAGCCCTGTGGCCGCCAAGGCAGGTCGACAGGCACAGGGACATTGAGTGTCCAGATCCGCATGGTAGTAGGGGCCGGCGGGGGAACTTCATCAACTGTAGCCAAAGCGGTGCTATAAGGCGGATGCATAGCAGCTGACTGTCCCCCAAGTAGGATCAGGGTCAGACCACCGAAAATAGCAGGGGAGCAAGCTCTCGCCGCTACAACATGAAGGACGCCGTCAACAAGTCGGCCAACCAACCCTGGGAGAGCACGGCCAATGAGTGCCCTAGCTCCTTGGGGGCTCGGTGACATATGACGCACCTCAGCCGATGGTTCGACACTGTGCACAACTCCATCAGGTTCAATGGCACAAAAGAAGAAAGAGCAGTGAGAGGTAAAGTGCTGGACAACGGGCCGGAGCAACTCACACCCAATGGAATCCCTGAGGATCCACCAAATTGGTGGAGATGGCGGGGTAACCAAAATGTCCAATACCTGCGGATTCGAGTCAAAGGCAACATGAAGCCCATATTCACAGTCAGGCAAAAAGGCTCCGAGATATGCGCTAAGATGCAGGTCGAGGTGACGCGCATGAACACGCAGATGGATCGGGCCTTGCCCGGGCAACCACAGATGCAACTGGATTTCATACTGTGGTGAAGTGCGCTCAACGTAGGCACCTAATTGGGGCGCCGCTACTGCAAAACCATGCGTCTGTCGCCCAAGCTCGTGCGTCCATGACATGGTGCAGGGCCGCGTGAAGTCACGACGGGTATGCAAAATGTTGTCAGCAGAGCGCCGAGGTACCAGTGTGGCTGGCTCGAGAGGCAGCTGCACCGAATCAACCGGGAGCGCCAAGAGACCCAGCACGCACAAGAGCAAGCTGCGCCCAGGACAAGTCAAGCCAAGTGCAAGGGACACAAGAGTCGGTGGAGCTGGTGGTGGGCTCGGAGCTGGTGATTGGCAATTATGCGCTAACTGCGAAATCCCCTCAGGCGAGTCATAGCCTACACTAACACACCGCCCAACGACACTGGCGAGGTCTCGGGGAAACGGCCAGATCTGAGTACTATCAGACAAGAATGTCTGGGGCAGCTCCCAGAGGGAGAGAGAAAGCGCCTGGGCCACGGCCTCCCATGTAGGAGCAGGTGTGCACATGCCAACAAGGCGGCCCCCTTCGCGAAGGGCCCAGACGGTGAATCCAGGCACGCAGGCAACTAGACACTTTACGTGCCATGCATCACACCAGAGATCGACAAGCTCGGATGCAGAGTCTGGTGTAACCCCCGCGCCACATAGGGTCGGGGGTGCCTGAAGTACCGCAGCAGGTGTGCTAGCGGAAATAAAGAGAGCGTTGGTCTGAACCCCAACACTATGAGAAACCCGAACCCTAGGGGACGGCAGGGGCGGGGGACTACGAACAATCCTAGGCTCCCAATGCAAATGCAGGAGATATTCCCGAGCCCTGGCGAGGTCAGCCTGAACATGGACATGCCAATAATGACAATCACCCCGGCCGGGGATAACGGTGCATTCCCAGGACAGCACCGACAGGCCAAAAGGCTGCAACCGACGTAGCAAGACAGCTGCCGGGCGATTGCTGTAAAGAAGGCTGTCGAGAAAGGCAGAGAAGGACTCGAAAACTCCCGCAAAGGCTAAAAGAAGGCCGGCTGCGGAAAGGTCAGAGGCATCAGTCAGGCGATAGGTAACACAGTCTTGCCCCGGACGAGCAACACCAAACGCTGCATGTGGGAGGGCATCAGCCCCAGGGATCTCAACAAAGACATGACGGCCAGGGATGACACTCTGCAGGAGGGTGCTCAGCACAGTGATGTCAAGGGCGCACGACCGCGGAACCTCAAAAGAGATCACCCCTTCAACGGAATGAAGAAATGACACAACCCTCGACTCCTGGAGCCACCGAGAGGCAGAGGCGACATGAGGCGGTAGAGTGAACGCCGAGACATCAAGCGTACGTTGCTCGGAGTTAACAATCACCCGAATGACATCACCGTGACGAAGTCTGTGTGCCGGCCCTTTCAAGATTTGGATGTCAGTGGTTGAGGCTGCTTCCTGTGCGGCAGTCGTAACCTGGCTCGGACTATAGTCGAACGGAAGCTCGCTGCAAACAATCTCCCTGCCTAAATCAAAAAGGACAGTAAGTGCACCCGGATGCGAGGGCAGGGACACCAGGTGAACAGCGTCAAGCGTAGGCCCGACCGACGCCGCAACAATCTGAGATCGTCCAAGTCGAATGGCTTGGCGGTACAGCTCCGCAGACACATCACGGGCCCGATCGGTGCTTGAGAACTCAAAGCGCACAACGGAGCCTGGCAGCCAAAGGCGGCAGGTTATAAGGAAGACCGAGTCTGGTGACGGCAGTGATAACCAGAGAGGACCATCGCCAAAGTCACCAGTCAGAAGCCACTTGGACTGCAGATGGGAGTGGGCTCCCGCAGGAGCAGCAATCTGGCGATCCGGAGCTCTGGCAGCGGAAATAACAGCATCGCGTGGCGAGGCAGGTTCGCTGTGGATTTGAACCGCTGTAACAGGCGAAATGTACAGCAGTAAGCTAGCAACACTCCACATGCCAAGTCCAGGTTGCCCTCCAGCATGCCGACCTAAGACCCCCAAGACACTAAAAACTACCCAGGGCCTTCGCAACAGGTGGACAGCACCGGACGCGTCCGAGGCAGGCTCCTCAGTTTGCTCAGCAGCACTAGGGAACGAAGAATTAAGGAAATCAGAGGGTGTAACGCCGGTGCAGGCAGGCATGCTGGCGGACGCAGAAGCTCTGGCGGGTGAGGGCAACAGGGTGTGCTGTAAGGCGGAAATAGTATCTGATGTACCCGGAGCGTCCCACCCTCCGACCTGGTCTTCCGAGGAAGACGAGGAGTCCTGGCGAAAAACATGCGGAAAGAACATGATCACCAACGGAAAACTCCCTGAAATAACCTGGTCCGGAAGCACAGAAAATTCCCTGTGAAGAAGACCGAAGCCACCCCTGGCACACTGATCGACCCATTCATGGGGAAGACTGTTGCGATCTCGACGCGAAGCTGCGGTGACCGCTGCGAGCGCAGTGACAGGGGGCGAGATGCAGACAGTAGTCAGTCTCCAGCCCACAGGACGGAAATCCAAAATGCACGGTACTTCCTCCTCAGTACAATGAACCTCAAGAAATTGGACAAGAGGGAGCGAGGGAAGTGGATGCCAGATACGCAACACGCCCCCAGTAGCAGCAGGGGAGGCCCTCGTAGACACGATGCGTCGGAAGGTCGCGGCATCAGCAAAAACCGGGGCTTCAACGTGTACTAACCCGTTGGGTGTGATAAGAACAGCCTGGTTATGCGAGTGACCCGGAAAGGCGTCGTAAGCGGCCGGAGCAGTGGGAAGGCTCACCTGCATCGCAGAAAAGAGAGATAGGGGCGGATCCAGGGAAGATCCGACTGGACCTTGTAACGCCTCGACAGCCGGACCGATCTGAAACTGCAGAGTGTCAACATCTTGCAAGAAGAGGGGCTGGGAGGCAAGGATCAGCCAGCCCCACGTGCATCGAGCAAGAAGAAGGTCAACCTCAGCCGTCAAGGTTTGAGCAGCAAGGGCGAGTTGGGCGATTGCTCTGCAAGTGGAGTCACGTGGACATTGTATCATACACACTCGGCCACCAAGCTGTCGCAAATCGACGGGCAGCCACACCTGCCGCCATGAACAAGCCACTGGCGTGAGGAGAAGCTGTTCACTCGGCAACCCAGGAAGAACTCCGCGGACCCCAGACACAGAGAAGACCCCAGCATGGAAGCCTAGAGCAGCGGCTAACCTAGCATGAAGTAGTGGCCCATGCAGCCATTCATCAACCAGAAAGGGAATGGGACATGGGTCAAGGACGGGCGCGCCAGGAGGTGTCCCCACGAACACAGCGAGATGCCTGCGGCTACGGTCTGTACGTGGTAACAGCAAGTTACCAGTACGGCCGACAGGATAGGCGTCACGCATCTCATCAGCACTGGGAGTGGGAAGAACGGGACCTGTGCTGAGAACAGGGAGGCCTTCATGGAAACCGTGCGCATGCAGCTGCACGGCTTCGGGGGGCTGCACAAGGTAAGAGGAAAGGACAGCAGCTCCCAGTCGGAGAGTAGCTCCGTCGGCGACCGAGAGGTACAGCAGGAGCAAGGTCACATGAAAGTTAGGGCCACGGGGCCTCCGTGGTCTCACTTTTGCACAGTAACGCACTCCGTGCACCCTGCGACCGGCAGATCGGGCCCCCGCCGGCATAACACATCCACACGCAGCGAAAGGAAAGTGCCAAACAGAGAGGAACCAAGGCCATGTCTGCTCGTCATCGCAATCCGATTGCCAGTGGCTGCGGGGCCAAGTCCAACCACGGCCCCACACGCAGCCGGGTCCAGAACCCACGACAGGGAGGAATCGAATACAGTGCTGACTGGCAGAACGTAGGGCAGAGCCAAAGTCCAAGGCAAGTCCAGGAAGGCCAGCCAAGAGCTCACTGATTATGGCACACAGCATCATGGAGACAGGCGGTCCGATTGCAGCAGCAACCCACCAAGCGGTTGCTGAAAGAACGCAGCCGAGCTGCCACGATCGTCGCCAAGAAAGGCGGGGGCCATATGTCGCAAAGAACCGCCCTGAAACCGCTACAACTCTACACAGAGCTATGTACAGAATCAGACAACGCCCGAGGAAAAGGCTAGCCGCGATCCATGGGAGATACGAACAAACGTAGCCCCCAAGATCGCGACTAGCAGGGTCGATGTCCACAGAGACTCCATCGCTCAAGAGCTGGGCTGAGGTGCTGTGGCCAACGGGAACGGACAAGGCATCCTGCACAGAATTTGGGCATGTGCATTGGAGGCCATCTCGGTCGCCAGATATCCCTGCCTGACCAGGCCCTGCTCCACCACAAGGGATGGGTGCAACCATTCCTGAAGTGTGCCAGGCGCGTAACTGAACGGGTCGAGCAGACTGCCGAGCGCCGCATGGATGGCAACCAACAATCCCTGGCGGATGCGAGGTAGGGCACCGGAACAGCTCCGAAGGTCGCAGAGCAAGGTATGCAGTCG